CTGCAACCTCTGCCTTCCAGGTCCTGGTTCAAGCAATTCTTCTGCCTCAGCCTCCCCAGTAGATGGGATTACAGCCATGTGCCACCGTGCCCAGCTAATTTTTGTATTTTTAGTAGAGATGGAGTTTCACCTGTTGGCCAGGATGGTCTTGAACTCCTGGCCTTGTGATCCACCCGCCTTGGCCTCCCAAAGTGCTGGGGTTACAGGCGTGAGTCACTGCACCCAGCCAAACATTTTTTTTTAGAGACGAGGGTCTTGCTATGTTGCCCAGGCTGGAGTGCAGTGGCTCTTCACAGGCACCGTTATTGTGCACTGCAGCTGCAAACTCCTGGTCTCAAGCAATTTTCCCATCACAGCCTTCTGAGTTGCTGGGATTATGGGTTCCCCTCACTGTGACCCGTTCAGATATTTCTTTTCTCTTAAGCTATATTTATTGCCCAGCCAAAACTAATATTGCATTTCTGTGTTATACCTAATTATTAGAAGTTAAGGAGCTATTTATACTATTAGTTTCAAAAGTTACAGTTTAATATGAAAAAATTGTAGCTTTACCTTTGAATACTGACTTCATCTTGTCCTTTAGGTATGATTTCTATGAATAGCAGAAAATAATGCTTGTGCTTGCTGATAAAATATAGCCTATTTTCTTCTGGTTTAAACAGTCTCTTTCGGATAGAGATTCAGTCAATTTTAAGTTTTCACTCCTTACCAGGATGGCTTCAGCCCTCTCAGGGGGTTTCCCAAGCTGATGTCTTGAGTGCAGGAGGCACGCCTATGTTCCTGGGGCTAGTGGGATCACCTGCTTGCTCTCATGTTTTCAATGAAGACTGTACTAGTTCTCTGTGGGATCAATTTCTAGTGTGCTGGCTGGGCTCATGCCTGTAATCCCACCACTTTGGGAGGCCAAGGCGAGTGGATCACTTGAGTCAGGAGTTCGAGACCAGCCTGGTCAACAGTGTGAAACCCTGTCTCTACTAAGAATCCAAAAATTAGCCAGGTTTGGTGGTGCATGCCTGTAGTCCCAGCTACTCAGGAGGTTGAAGCAGGAGAATCGCTTGAACCCAGGAGGCAGAGGTTGCAGTGAGCTGAGATCACACCACAGCACTACATCCTGGGCAACAGAGCAAGACTTCATCTCAAAAAATAAATAAAATAAAATAATAAATTATAATGTGCTTTTATGTTAGTATGAGTTGTTTGACAATCTAACTTTTTATGAAGGTCCCACAAAACCCAAAATAGCCTTGTGAAGAGGGAATGCACATCCTAAGGATGGATGGCAAAGGGCTACTGGGCAGATTAGGGTTGGGGAGGCAGGAAGAGAAGAACGACCATGCCAGGGGACACTCTGTTGTGGTGTCTTGGTGGGATGCTCCCTAAAGACCATAGCACAGGAACCGGGTGCACTGGCTCGTGCCTGTAATCCCAGCACTTTGGGAGGCCAAGGCAGGTAGATCACGAGGTCAGGAGGTCGAGGCCAGCCTGGCCAATATGGTGAAACCCCGTCTCTACTAAAAATACAAAAATTGGCTGGGCATGGTGACGGGTGCCTGCAGTCCCAGCTACTTCGGAGGCTGAGACAGAAGAATCACTTGAACCCGGGAGGTGGAGGTTGCAGTGAGCTGAGATTGGGCCACTGCATTCTCTAGTGTGGGTGACAGAGCGAGATTCAGTTTTTTAAAAAAAGTCCACTGTACTCGGGTAGATGAGGTAGAAAGATCACTTGAGGCCAGGAGTTTGAGGCTGCAGTGAGCTATGATTGCATCTCTGTATGTAGTCCAGCTTGGGAGACACAGTAAGACCCTGTCTCTAAAAAAAAAAAAAAAAAAGACCATAGCACAGGTTCATTGGTTTAGATGTGCCTGCCAGGGGCATTAAATCTTAGCAAGTCTCTCAGTGAGACTGCTTATGGTGCCAGTGTCCATGAGCTACCCCCAGCAGTGGCCTCCAACCTGAATTGTTCCTGAGATGCCATCTTGGCTGTGTTCTTAGTCAGCAGCCTTCCTTGATTCCTATCTAGTTCTCAACTCTTTTGGTCATTCTGTGAGCTCTCACTATTCTTTCTCTTTAAATTAACCAGAGTGAACTTTTGAATTTTACAATCAAGAGCCGTAGTGGCTACAAATGCTTTCAGCAAATTTAAGGAGAATGACCTTGTTGGGAGACAATTCTCCTTGGGTCTTTTGTGTTTCTGCATGTCTTACAAGCAGAGGCCCTGACTTTTCAAGGGTTTTTGTATAAGTGAACAATCTTGGAAAATAGACGTAGTGCCTCCTTCCTGAGAAAACAGCAGGTTTGCTTACTACCCATTATGAAAGGTTTGGGTTTCCTAAGCTCGGAATTTCTCTTAGTAATGCAAACCTCTGCACATATAGGTATCCATTGGCACTCATCTTTGTCACTCATAGGACTCTGAAGCAAGGGAAGCTGACGCAAATAGGCCAAAGTTGATGTGCCACAGTAATAAAGTCCTTTGTCTCTGACCCGGAGCCTCGTGTTTTCTGGAAGGACCCATGAAACTACAACTGGTTCACATGGTAGCTTGCAAGGAGGATAACACTTCAGATCCTTCACAGTTCTTGATAGCGTTGCCCCGTTGTGGCTAGGAGATTCCCGGGGGCCAGGTCTACTCTCTGTTCTCCAGCCCAGCAACTTGCCTCCACCAAACTAAGATGCCCAAAGGAAGGGACCCCATCGCCCTCTACTCTCAGACTTGAATGGAGGATTATATCATTTTTGACTCTCAGACTGGGATCTCTTTGAGGTCAGCAACTTCATCTCAACAGACTGAGGACTTTCCAGAGCTGAATCTGTCCATTGCCCATCTGCACATTTCTCTCTGTGTCAATATACTCCACTTCAAGTCCAGGATAGGAAAGAATTTTCCTGTTCCTGAAGCTCCATGGTTTTACTCCCTCCCCCACTCCGGCCCTCCACACATACACAATATCCAGGAGCCATACCCGCCTTGTGCCCAAGTCCTACTTCCTACTGGACTTGGCACCATTCCCTTGTGTTCCTTGGCTCTAAGGCAATGAAATGGAAATAGGATAAGTAGGGAGCATGGGGTGAAGAAGGATAAGGATACAACAGGAGGAGGAGGAGAGAATATAATGATACAAACAAACCCAATGCTTTCAGTGATTCCTGCAGGCCAGGTAAAGCCCAGTACTATACTACTATCTCTGACTTATAGACTGAGGGTCAGAGAGATATCATGCTGAAAGTCACATAACTTTTATATTTATGTGGTGGAGCTGGGATTTAAACCCAGTTAATTGGGGTCAAAGCCACCTTCTACTCCACTTTTATGCCTTCCTAAGAGGTAAGGTAAGAGACACCTGAGTTGTTAGTGCTTTGGGAGGCTCTGGAAAAGGAAATTATTCCTGGGCAGAGCCTCATGGGCAGGTGAGGTTCTAGCCCCACCCCTTGTGATCCAATAGAGGCCCTAGAGACCAGACCAAGTTCTATGGGTTCTGGGCACCCTCTCACATCCCAGTCCCTGATCAGGGAAAGCAGGCAGCACAGCCTTGGGAAGAATGGATAAGCATGGTGAGTGGGGCTGGAGGGAGGATGGGGCTGGAGGACAGAATCTCTTGACCCTGGCTTGGACAATCCAGCCCACCACCATGAAGTCCAACCTTTTTTCAGCTACAAGCCCTCTCTTTTCTCCTTCCTGAATACTCTTCTTTTTTGAAGATAGAGTCTGACTCTGTCACCCAGACTGGAATGCAGTGGCGTGTTCTCAGCTCACTGCAGCCTCTGCCTCCCGGGTTCAAGCAATTCTCCTGCCTCAGCCTCCCAAGTAGCTGGGACCACAGGGGCATGCCACAACACCTGGCTAAGTTTTGTATTTTTAGTAGAGACGGGGTTTCATTATGTTGGCTGGGCTAGTCTCAAACTCCTGACCTCAAGTGATCCACTGCCTTGGCCTCCCAAAGTCCTGGGATTACAGACGTGAGCCACCACGCTTGGCCTCTTTTTGTTTTTTGTTTTTAGAGACAGGGTCTTGCTTTGTCACCCAGGCTGGAGTACGTTGGTGTTATCATAGCTCGCTGTAGCCTCAACCTGCCAGGCTCAAGTGACTCCCTGCCCCCCATGCCTTGGCCTCCCAAAGTGCTGGGATTATAGGTGTGAGCCACCACATCCAGCTACAGAATAGTGTTAATATCTGCTTCATCATCTCCACCTGCTCCTGTTCAGACCTTTGTCTTCTCTGACCTGGACCACTGTAATGACTCCTCAGTGGGGCCTCCTGTCTTGTCAGAGGGAACATCCTAAAACACAGCTTGGAACATGTCCCTCTACAAGAATGTTCAATGGCTTCTCACTACTGAGGGGCGAGGTCCAAATTCCATAGCGTACCACTTAATGTCCAGTCTTTCCTTCTCAACCCCTTTTCCTCCTCCCCTTACCTCCTGAAACATCTCTGAAACCCTTTTCTAGCTGGGTACTAGGCCTAGCCTTTCACAACCAGAAGGCTAGAACACCAATTATGAGCATTCCCTTTGCCCTTTAAATAGGATGGACTAGGATCAATAGGAATGTTTCTTGACTTTTCCAGAGCAAACGCCACAAGTTATGTCTTCCCTGCCCTCCTCTTCTCTCTCCTTTACAAACCTAGCTATCCAGATGCGACAGACACAGGATGCATGAGGCCTGGTGAATGTTTGCTGAATGGGCAGGGGACACCTTCCAGGGGAGGCCAGCTTAGTTTCCACGTCAGCCTGGGAACTTCCTTCCTGCTAGGGCTACTGCTTGGAGTTGTGGAATCTGTGCCCTGAACAAAGGCACCAGCAAGAGGGGACAGTGGTGGCTGAAGTCAAGCCTGGAAGGAGGAAGAGACACCTTTTCCTACTTGGTTCACCCTAAGGACAGCCTTTCCCAATCGGTCTGCCCATAGAGGGTCCTTTTTTCCATTTTTCTGATTATAAGAGGCGCCTTTTCTCATCATACAGAGGTGCTGTAAGCCCACCTGCCTGCCCACTCCACCAGCGGACATGGAGAGCTTCCTTAAGGCAAGACCAACTTGGAGGAAGCAAATCCCATTCAGAAAATAAAATACTCTATAAATAACCACGTATTGGCCGGTCGTGGTGGCTCACGCCTGTAATCCCAGCACTTTGGGATGCTGATGCAGGTGGATCATGAGGTCAAGAGATCAAGACCATCCTGGTCAACATGGTGAAACCCTGTCTCTACTAAAAATACAAAAATTAGCTGGGCGTGGTAGCCCACGCCTGTAGTCCCAGCTACTTGGAAGGCTGAGGCAGGAGAATTGTTTGAACCCAGGAGGCAGAGGTTGCAGTGAGCCAAGATTGTGCCATTGCACTCCAGCCTGGGTAACAAGAGTGAAACTCTGTCTCAAAAAAATAAAATAAAATAAAACAAAATAAATTTTAAAACTAAAATAAAAAATAAAAATAAATAACCACTTATTAAAATGGGATCAGTAAGCCCTGGGAGGCGGCTTGTGGCTGTGATCCCAGCACTTTAGGAGACCTAAGCAGAAGAACTGTTTGAAGCCAGGAGTACCAGCCTCGGCAAAATAATGAGACCCTGTCTCAAAAAAAATTTTTTTGGCCAGGTGCGGTGGCTCATGCCTGTAATCCCAGTACTTTGGGAGGCTGTGGTGGGTGGATCACGAGGTCAGGAGTTCAAGACAGCTTGGCCAACATGATGAAACCCTGTCTCTACTAAAAATACAAATAAAAAATAAAATAGCTGGGTATGGTGGCATGTGCCTGTAATCTCAGCTACTCGGGAGGCTGAGGCAGGAGAATTGCTTGAACTGGAATTGGGAGGCAGAGGTTGCAGAGAGCCAAGATGGCGCCACTGCATTCCAGCCTGGGCTACAGAGTGAGACTCCGTCTCAAAATGATAGTAATAATAATAATTATTATTAATTAATAATTAATACTAATAATAATTAATAATAAGACCCTTATTATTCCATTATTATTACTATATGACTCCCTCTCAAAATGATAGTAATAATAATAATTAATAATAAATAATAATAATAAGACTCATATTATTATTCCATTATTATTACTATATAAGACTCCGTCTCAAAATAATAGTAATAGTAACAATAATTATTTATTAATAATTAATAATATTAATAATTATTAATTAATAATAATTATTATTATTTTGAGACGGAGTCTCACTCTGTCACCTAGGCTGGAGTGCGGTGGTGTGATTATGGTTCACTGTAGCCTCCAGTCAGCGTCCCCAGCTCAGCTTCCTCCCACCTCAGCCTCCCAAGTCCAAGTAGCTGGGACCACAGGTGTATGCCACCACGCCTAGCTATTTTTTTTTTTTTGTATTTTGTATTTTTTTTTTTTTTTTGAGACGGAGTTTCGCTCTTGTTACCCAGGCTGGAGTGCAATGGCGCGATCTCGGCTCACCGCAACCTCCGCCTCCTGGGTTCAGGCAATTCTCCTGCCTCAGCCTCCTGAGTAGCTGGGATTACAGGCACGCACCACCATGCCCAGCTAATGTTTTGTATTTTTAGTAGAGACGGGGTTTCACCGTGTTGACCAGGATGGTCTCGATCTCTTGACCTCGTGATCCACCCGCCTCGGCCTCCCAAAGTGCTGGGATTACAGGTGTGAGCCACCGTGCCCGGCTGTATTTTGTTGTTTGTTTTTTTTTTTTGTAGAGAAGGTGGGGGGGTCTCGAACTCTTTGAGCTCAAGCCAGCCTCCCGCCTCGGACTCCCAAAGTGCTGAGATTACAGGCGTGAGCCACCATGCCCCGACTTACAAACAAGTTCTGAAAAATAATCCCGGGCCACCTGTGGTGGCTCATGCCTGAAATCCCAGCACTTTGGGAGGCCGAAGCGGGCGGATCACCTGAGGTCAAGAGTTTGAGACCAGCCCAGCCAACGTAGTGAAACCCCGTTTCTACTAAAAATGCGGTGGTGGACGCCTGATGTCCCAGCTACTTGAGAGGCTGCGGCAGGAGAATCGCTTGAGCCTGTGAGGCGGAGGTTGCAGCCAGCCGAGATGGCGCCACTGCACTCCAGCCTGGGCGACCGAGAGAGACCCTGTCTCAATTGAAAAATTATCGCGGACCCTTTTTCGGCGACAGCAGGCCGCCCTGACCTCCCACCGTCCCGCAGGTGTGAAGACCCCGTTGTGGAAGAAGGAACCGGAGGAGGCCCGGGCCGGGGAGGCGGAGCAGGAGGAAGCGAAGGAGGGGTCGGAGGAGGAAGACTACCAGAGGTCGCTGGAGGACAGCGCGGCGGAGGGCGAGGAGCCGCCGCGGGAGGCGGAGGAGAGCGAGGGCCGCGAGCGGCGATCGGTGTCCTACTGTCCGCTGCGCCAGGAGTCCAGCACCCAGGAGGTGGCGCTGCTGCGGCGCGCGGACAGCGGCTTCTGGGGCTGGCTCAGCCCCTTCGCGCTGCTGGGCGTCCTGACTGCTCCCACCGACAGGTGACTGCGTGCTCCTTCGCCGGAGCACTAGGCACGCGGTGCCCGGGCCCCAGGGAGGAGGGGCGGCCCCAGGCAATGAGCGCCCGGTCCCCGCCGGCAGGAAGCGGAGCCTACCGGAGGAGCTGTGCGTGCTGGAGATCCGGCGACGACCGCCGCGCCGCGGGATCTGTGCGCGCTGCGAGATCCTTTTCTGCAAGAAATGCAGGAGTCTGCACAGCCACCCAGCCTATGTGGCGCACTGCGTTCTGGATCACCCGGATCTGGGTAAGGCGGGGACCGCTGGGGCCTACTGAGCGCCCCCACTCCCAGTTTTGTGCTCTCCAACCTTTCCTGGCCCAGACCCCCCACCAACCTTCTCTCCTGGAACGCGGAGCCCTCTCCGGCGCATTCCACAGAACCGCCCCTTCTCAACTGCCGCCCAGAGCGCCCCTATCAAGCAGGAAGGCCCACTGTTGATGCTTGGTTCCCACCTGCCACCTAGCGCCCCCAGTGCAGAGCCCAGCATAGCCTAGAGCCCACTGTGAACAGCGCCCACCCACGGCTCCACCCCCCCCCCACGGCTCCACCACCCCCCCACGCAGCACCAGCGCCACCGCACACCTGACTCTGCCGCTCACACAGCCTCACCTTCACCTCTTGGGTATTTCAGATCCTTCTGGCCCGGTGGGCAGAGGCGTCGCCTAGAGAAAATAACCTCCAGGTTCCCTCATCCCTCTGACAAACCTGCCTCTTTCCCTGAAACCATTCAATAAAACCTCTGATCAAATTGTCAGTGCTTTGAGGTGGGGCACGGTGGCTCCGTGTGGGGATGGTCCTCCTCGGGTTCAAGCCAGAGGTAAAATCGTGGGCAGGGAGCCTCTTCCCTCGCCTCCGCGGAATGGTACAAGCTTTTGTATCCAAAGGCAGTCAAAGGGCCTTCTGCCCGCTATGCAGAGAAGAAAATGAAGGGGCAGGGCCAACAATGGCCCTGGGGAGCGGAGCACTGAACCCTTGCCAGACAGTTCTCCCCTCCCCTGGACGCCCTGGCTTCCTGAGGTCAGTGCTGTGCAGATGAGGCACTGGCAGGTGTGGAGGGGTGGGAGAAGCCTGGAAAACCAGATGCTAAAATAAATGCTGGCATGGGTGGAGGCAGAAGACACGGAGGCTGGGGAGCCGGTTCCTTCTCCAGGAATCCCAGCTATTCTTGGCTAGGCAGCAGGAGCTTTGGGAAAGCCGAGTGTGTGGCCTGGAGAATGCGGCCATTGTGAGCACAAGGCCACCCCCAGCCTGCAGGGCTGCCTGTTGTAGAGGCTGCATCCTTAGCGCCTGCAGCATTGCAGACCCCCAGGAAGGCCCCTTGACCTCTCCCTGCTGCGCACGGTTCCCCATCTGGTCTGGGGGGCAAGGACATTTTGCTTTTTGAGGAGAGGCAGGCTCCCTCTCTCCATCACAGCTCCACATGCACACACACACACACACATACACACACACACACACACACACACACACACACACACACACACACACAGAGACAGAGCTGACTGGCCCTGGCTTGGATAGAAGAGCGTGGCCCTGGCCTCCCCTGCACCAGTGCTCACCTGCTATCCCTGCAAAGGATGGAGGAACTGCTCCAAGGAAGGCTGCTTCCTGCCTCCCTGCCCACCAGCTGAAGACACCTCTTTATTCTAACCCGGGACAAAAAGCCAGGGACCGGCAGGGACTTGCATCAGTCTCCCTCCCACTCTGCGTCCTGACCCCACAAAGGGCCTCTGAGGTTGGAGACACCTGTGCCCTCATCCCCATCCATGCTTTCTGGGGGTGAGGCCTCTGACTAAACATGACACTGTTTTCCAAGAACTGATCCAGGAGGTCCTGGGGAGAAGGGTACAGTCTTGCAAAATGGTCTCTCTAATCTCCCTGTTGAGTTTCATATCCCCCTGCTTGGATCCTGGGGCCGTCACCTCTTGAATGGAACTGTACCTTTAGCAGAAGAAATAAATCCTCAAGGCCTGGGAAAGACAGAGGTCCTTGGAGGAAAGGGCCAAGGGATCTGGGACCCTTTTTTGTTTTTCCTAAGATTGATCCCACCCCCCATCTCCATCTGGTAGGAACAGACAAAGACAATGCTGCATTCTTCAAGGAACAAAGGCAGGCAAACTTCCAGATGGAGGCTTTGCTGTCGGGTCTTCTACAGAGGGACTCAGAGAGACGGGTTCTGCCCGAGGGGTGGGGAACACGATTTCGCCCTGAGAGCACCACCAGTTTCTGAGGTGAGGAGGTGACTTCAGAAGAGCGTGCTTCCTGAGTTAGCATGCCAGCAGCCCATCCAGGGCAGCTCAGTGGCCCAGCGGCCCGAGGTGGTCGCCCACAGTTTGGCCTGGTCGAGGCGCCAGTATTGGTCATCTCGGAAGAAGATGATGGAGCCGTCGGGCCTCGGCAGAGTGCCGCTGACCTCCTCAGGGATGCCGCCCCAGTCCTGCAGACTTCGGGGGTAGTAGGGTTCCACTTGCAGACCCCCTCGGGCCAGCACGTAGTAGCGGGAGCCCTTGAAGAGGACGAGGCGGCGCAGAGGAGGGAAGAAGAGGGCGGCATCTGGATGGCGGGGCAGGCCCCCTGCCCGGCACAGCTGTGGGAGACCCCACACTGGCTTGGGGCCCCGGAACCTCCAGCATTGACCCCCTGTGGACCATTGGGAGAGCCAGGGTGAGCTGGAGGCTGTCACTCATTGGCCTTCCACCCCACCTCTGTCTCCCATACCTCTGTTCCCCGCTTAAGCTGGAGCCCACGATGGTTAGTATTCATATCAATGAAATGCATTGTACTACTAGTTACAAATAGCAAGGTGGTAGTAGGGACTACCGTTATTGTCTAGACTTCCAGCAGGTGTCAGCACAGGGCAGATGGCCATCTCCCCTGCCATCACTACTAATGCTATGAGGGCAAGAATTTTTGTTTCGTTCACTGCTATATCCCTAACATATCCAACCTTGTCTAGTGCATACAAGGCACAAAATATTGGTTGAATGAGTGAACAAATGAATGAATACTATTTACCTATTTCCACGCATTTAGTAATATATTGCCCTCTCCAGGCAATATTCTCTTTTCATATTGCTTCCCCAGCAAATCTGAAGTATTGAATTCCCCATTCAAGAAATGCACATTCATAAGTTAAGTGACATGTCCAACCCTACACGGCTAGGATTCCAATGAAGATCCAGCTCTTTCTGCTGAGTTGCAGAAATCAAGAGCAGTCCTCTGCTTCCCTCTAGACTCCTCTCTGACACGCTCCCTGGGACCCTGGCACTCGATGCTCCCTAATCCATCACGGAAAGGTGCCTTCCGATGGAGTCTTCCCCAGGGTCATAGGATCCAAGTGGAACAGAGACTCCACCATGGACTCGTGTGAGAGTTTTCCCCTCTTTTGTCCCCTCTCTAGGGCATAGTTTTCCCAGCTGCCCCAGAGCCAGTACCTTTGAAGAAGTAAAAATCTCCATCCTCCAATGACACTGCAGCAGCCTCAATGTTGGGGGGCAGCCCAGCCCACCTTTCCTGTAGTGGACGGGGCTCTGAGACGTTGCCATCAGCTGCCACTTCCCAGAAGTGGCTCCCTTTAAAAATGTACACTTGTTGTTGCCTGTCTGCCCAGAGACAAGAGAGAGTTGAGGAGTGACCATCAGCCTCCTGCTGTCTTTCCAGGGAAGATGCTGTCCTAGAAGCCAGTTTCCCAAACGGACAAGCACAGGATATGGTGTGCACAGTTGGCACAGTGGGGAAAGTGGGCAGGAAGAAGCAGTGTTTTGCTTAGTGTGGAGCCATGGCCTGCAGGTGCTTGTGGTTTGGGATTTCTGGCTTTGACAGTCCATCCCCCTACCTTGTACACCAGCTCTGGAGACCCTAGGAGACGTGGGAAAGAAGGGAAGAAAAAAGTAAAGCACCAGTGGGTACTTCTTACCTACAGTGATGGCATCGAAGGAAGAGTGGCAGTATTGAGGGCCCTGGGTTTCAGGTTGCCTTCCTTGGGGACTGTGGGGGTCCCAGGCCTCAAAGTCAGTGAACAGCTTTCCTGGGAGCTGGACAGCCACTGAGCCCCCTAGGGGCTTCCCTTTGTAAGCAAGAAGATGAGAGAGAGAACACACATAGGGTAGAGGGTATGCTGTGCACATAAGACCTTCCCTTGGTTACTTTCATGGTTATCTAATATGAGGGGCAAGGAAGCAGAGTGGGAGTAGGGGGTTAAGAGTTGTTCCTGGGCAGGTGCGCTGGCTCACACCTGTAATCCCAGTACTTTGGGAGACCAAGGCAGGTGGATCACTTGAGGTTAGGAGTTTGAGACCAGCCTGGCCAATGGTGAAATCCTGTTTCTACTAAAAATACAAAACTTAACCAGGCATGGTGGTGCACACCTGTAGTCCCAGCTACTTGGGAGGCTGAGGCAGGAGAATCGCTTGAATCTGGGAGGTGGAGGTTGCAGTGAGCCGAGATCATGTCACTGCACTCCAGCCTGGGTGACAGAGCGAGAGTCTGTCACAAAAAGAAAAAAAAAAAAGAGTTGTTCCTGGTTGTTGGTGCTAACCATCAAAATAAACCCAAGAATATTCCCTTCTACCCAACATCCTGGGACAGAGGGACCTCCTGAGATAAAATTGGAGTGGGGGACTAAGCAAGGGTTTGGAACAAAGAAGGGCAGGAAGTCCTCTTCCCTGATTCCTGGGCAACACAGATGTTGTGAGGGCAGAGTCCAGAGACCCAGGCTGTGATAACTACAGCAATTAGAATAATTATATCATGGCCAGGCATGGTGGCTCATGCCTGTAATCCCAGCACTTTGGAAGGCTGAGGTGGGCGGATCACGAGGTCAAGAGATCAAGACCATCCTGGCCAACATGGTGAAACCCCATCTCTACTAAAAATACAAAAATTAGCTGGGCGTGGTGGCATGCGCCTGTAATCCCAGCTACTCAGGAGGCTGAGGCAGGAGAGTTTCTTGAAACTGGGAGGCGGAGGTTGCAGTGAGCCGATATCCCGCCACTGCACTCCAGCCGGGTGCCTGGTGACAGAGCAAGACTCTGTTTCAAAAAAAAAAAAAGAATTACGTCACCATCCTTCACTTATGAGAGAGTGAAGCAGAGTCCAACAAGCTTATTATTTGGTACCATCACCTGAATCCCAGTCTGCAATTTCCTAGCTGCATGACCCTGAGCAACTTACCTAACCTCTCTGATCTGTGGACAGAAAGATGCATACCTCATGGGTGTGTTGCATGTCAAATGCCTGGCCCATGGTAGGTACTCATGAAATAGTAGCTGTTACCATTACAGGGCACAAGTTTCTCAGGCTAAAAAGCAGGGCCTCAATTGTTATGCTCTTGGGCTCACAGAGGGAAAATGCCCAAGAGCATCTGCTAATCAGAGATGGAAGGTGACTTGAACCCAGGCCTCCTGGCTCTGCACATGGCACTCTGAGGGAGACAGCCCTGGGCTGAGACAGGTCCCAGGACAGCAGCACTGGCCCACCCTGGGGAAGAAGACCTGGTCTGAGCCCAACACCAGGCAGAGGTGGGCAGGCTTTGTGAGCAGGGGGCATCAGCATCATGGTGAGAGAACGGCTAGGGGAGAGCTACTGGCTGGGGCAGGAATGAAGGCTTTGGGGTCTGGGATGGGGAAGAGGTGGACACGAGGATTTGGTCTGGGTGATGGGGGTGACGACATGATGTGAGCGGGAGCTGAGGGGGCTGGGAGTTGGACAGAAATCCAGTAATTGGAACGCAAGGAGCGGGGTTGGGAACTGTGC